TGGAAGAGTCCTGGTGTGGCGCTGTGGGTTAATGCCCTTTGAACTGCAAGGTTGGCTGTTCAAGGTCACCAGCTGCTCCTCGGAAACCCTAGTCAGGGTCGCTATGGGTCAGAATCGACTCGATGGTACATAACAACAACAAAGTCACTAGAGGATCCACCAGGAGCAGAAATTGGGAAGAAATCAGAACCTTCCTTCAGATCCCCAGAGAGACAAAGCCTTCCCCTGTAGCTGACACTTAAGAATTCATCCTTCTGGCTTCCTAAATATGGTGACACTGAAGAGTTGTTTGTGAAAGCCACCCACATGGCCTATTTGTTATAACACCACAAGAGAATTAAGACAACCTTCCCGTTTTAAACCATAGGAACATTTTCTTATTTGATTTCTTTCTGCTTCTTGCTCTTGTTACTTGCCTTGGAGTCCACTGTAATGCATGGGTATCTCAGCAGGACAGCGCAGAACTGCCCATAGTGACCTTTCTGACCCAGAATGCCACGCCTTTTTTCCCTAGGCACCTCCGGGTGGGGTGGATTCTAACTGCCAAGTTTTAAGGTTGGGGACGAGTGCTTAGGTCTGTGTCACTAGGGGACTCTTCTGCTATACTTAGACTTATAGGTGCTTTTACAACATCATTTAATATAAAACAGAATCAGGGAAAAAGGACATACGACGAAGCTTCCAAAAGTTCGAGGGAAAATGGAATGAAAAGACAATGGGATTCTTCCTCTGTCATTTTTTCTAACCCTGTTCTGTGTTTGAGCCCGGCCAAAAGACTTGCATTCACAGTTTAGAAAACTCAGAAATAAGGCACAAAGATGCAAGGTTTGCTTTTAATTTCAGCATCCTCTTTTCTTAGAAAGTTGGGCAGTCTTTTGGGGGAAGGCATGAGCAGGGGGAGCTCTGGCACTTGCTGCCAGAGATTGAAAGTCTTGGGTACTCGGGTAGCCTCCCGCCGCAATGCGCATGCGCCATCCCGGGCAGAAGCCCGCAGAGACGTGGGCGCGCGTAACTGCCCGAGACACTTGGAGGCTCCCGGGTCGGACAAGCCACAGGAAGTCGGGGCACGTGACACAGGCCATCCGCTGCACTTGCACCCGGTGGCCCGCAGCGATGACACTGAGCATTTTCGCCCATTTCCTCCCCCACCCCCCCACGGCTCCTGACACCGTCCCCTCAATGAACCCCTTCCTTTCTTCCACCGCGTCCTTTCTGAACTCAAGCCCTGGACTCCAGACACAAAACTCTTCTCGGCGCGGCGCGGCCCGCTCCGGAATGTGAAGAGAGCTGAGGTCACAGCCGACAAGTTCGCCGCGCTCGCCCACTACTTCATGTCCCCCTACAGCTCCGGAAGCGACGGGCAGGGCCGGGAGCGCGCGTGCACGACACCGCGCAGGGACGGCTCGGGGGGCGCGTGCGCAAAAGAGGACCTAAAAAAAAAAAAATGCCGCAGCAAGCGGTGCAGCTCGGAACGCGCGTGCGCAAAACGGCGCGGAGCGGGCCCTGGGGCGCGCGTGCGCGTGCGTGGTGTAGCGCGGGAAGGCGGGCACGCGCGGCTCTCCCCGCCCCCACCCGGCCGAGACGGCAGCAGCATGGCGGCGCCCGCGTCCCTACCGCGGCCCGTCACCCACCTGCTCTTTGACATGGACGGCCTTCTCCTGGGTGGGTAGCCTGCGGCCGCCCTCCTCCACACACATCCGCCGAGCGGGGGAGGGTACGGGGCGAAGGGGTCTCTCAGGGCCGGCGGGCCGGGCCGCCTCAGGGAGGGGTCCTTGCGTGCCCCGCGCTCCCCGGCCGGCCCTGAAGCGCGCCCCGCGGGTTCATGTCCCGACTTCAGGCGCGCGGAGGCGGCGACGGCGTCTACGCGGCCCGGAACCCGCTTCCGGTAACCGGCAGCGCTGGGTGGGGGGGACGGCCCCCCCACGTCCGGGTTCATCCCCAGGGAACCCCCAGGCCGGGTGCATAACCACGTGACCGCCCTGGGTCAGAACCCACCCCTCACCCCGACACAACCCCCGTGCAGCCTCAGTTTCCCCATCTGCAAAGCAGCTTGCAAGGTACCTGCAGCCCCTTCCAGGTGAGCTCAGAGGTGGACGCACCTTGGTCAGAGCCGCCTCAGTGGCCGGACCTGTCAGCTGAACGTGTGTGCCCCTGAGGACATGTTAGAGTGTCCAGGCCTTCGGTAGGGAGGTGCTAACCCGCACCTGGAGGTTAGAGGTCAGCCAGACCGCTCAACAGCCGGCAAGGCACAGGGCGGTCCTGCAGTAGTCCCAGGTCTTACACACCTGGCCTTGTCGCGCCCAGTGGCCAATGCAGAACCCGCATTTCAGCCCTGCTGCAAGCTTTGCTTCCTGCGGCCCAGGGTTGAGCAGCCCGCAGTGGTCCCTGCAGACACGCACCTCTGCTCCCCGGGCTTTGTCTGTCTGCAGGAAGCCCGTCCCCACCCCACAAGGTACAGAGTCTGTCATGAACTCCACCGCAAAAACTGGTCAAGGGAAGAAACCTGCGCCAACCAAGCCCAGCCTTTGGGTTAAAGAGTCCGTTTATACCCGCGCTGTGTGTCCTGCCTGCCACCCATTCCCACTCACGGCTACTCGGGAGGACACAGGAGAACAGCCACTTGAGTTTCCAAGACTGGCATCTTCTTCAAGGGGTCCCACTACTGCAGGGAGTTGGGCCTGGCCTGTCTGCTCCTGTGGACCCTGCGAGGCTGTTCTACTTTGTCACATAGGGTCTCTGTGACTGGGAAAGGCTGGGGGAGTTCAAACCGGCCAGCTTTCTGTGAGTTGTTGTTAAATGCCTTGGCGTGCATAGAGTTTCCAAGGAGCAGCTGGTGAGCTGGAACCGCCAACCTTGCAGTTCAAACTAACTTTGCGTCTAGTGCATTAACCCACAGCGCCACCCGGGGCCTACATTTCTGTGAATGGTACTTAGCAATTGTTCTACCAGGACCAGGGCAGGGCCCCTTCCTCAGCACTGGGGTCTGTTAAAACATCTGCTGCATTCTTCAGGCTGACTTGTCCTGGTGGTGGTTTACATACTCTATTGTGTCATCTCATAAAGTAGTTCAGGGCAGGAGGAAGTCATTGTATTTGCATAATTAAAAAAACAAAACAAAAACACGCACACAGTCTGTGACTCAGGTAAATTTAGTTACCAAAGGTTGCACATCAAAGCAGGAACACAGCTGAGACATAGGTCCGTTTCTAAATAATTGATGTGTTGGTGTTGTTCAGACTCACAGAGACCCTGTATAGGGTTTCTGAGGAGCAGCTGGTGACTTTGAACTCCCAACCTTGTGGTTCGAAGTTCAGTGCTGATCCTACAACATCACACTAGGAGTCCAATAAATGGGCTTATCTTAAATGAGGAGCGTGGTGGCTCCATACAATAAGCACCAGATCGTGAACCACAAGTTCCACGGTTTGAGCCCACTAGCCACTTAGCAGGAGAAAGAAGAGACTTAGCTGTTCCCACAAAGATTAAAAACCTCTGAAACCCTATACCGGGCTTCTGTGAATCAGAATCAACTCCATGGTACTTAACAACAACATCTGAACTGGGAAATGTCATCTTGCTCCTGCTGACTGTATCCCTGAGTGGTTTAGTAGTAATGTGATGATGGTATAAAGTCCTGTGGAACCCTGCTGGCACACTGGATAAGCACTTGACTGCTTGCTGAAAGGGCAAACCCACTAGGCACTCCATGTTGTTAGGTGCCATTGAATCAGTACTGACTCCTGCACAACAGAATGAAGCTCTACTCTGTGTGTGTGTGTGTGTGTGTGTCTGTATGTGTATATATATACATATACAGGGTCAGCACTGGTCTGTAAACCACAAGGTCTGCAATTCAAACCCACCAGCCATTCTTTGGAAATCCTATGTAGGGTCACTGTAAGTTGGAACCAACTCCAGGGCACATAACAATGAGCATTCGGTTTAAACCGACTTTGCAGTCCAGTGTATTAACCTGCTGAACCACACTAGGGCGCTCTCTTTCTCTCTGTATGTATGAGCTTGTCAGCAGTTCGAAACTACCAGCTGTTCCACAGGAGAAAGATAAGGCTTTCTGCTCCTGTAAATATTTACAGCCTCGGAAACCCTGTGCAGGGTCACTATGAGTCGTAACCAACTCCATAGCACATAGCAGCAACAACTATATTATATATGTTGTTGTTAAGTGTTGTCGAGTTGGTTCCGACCCTTAGTGACCCTGTATAGGGTGTCTGAGCATTTGGTGAGCTTGAACCGACAACCTTGCAGTTCAAATAGCTTTGCAGTCTGATGCATTAACCCACAGCACTATACCAGGACTCTCTCTTTCTCTCTCTCTGGTTCTCTCTCTTTCTTGCATATATACTTACATATATATATATATATATAGTTGTTAGATGCCATCGAGTCGGTAATGACCCATAGCAACCCTTTGTACAACAGAACGAAACAGTGCCTGCCCCTGGGCCAACCTCACTATTGTTGCCATGCTTGAGTCCATCTGTGCTGCCACTTGGCCAGTCTATCCCATTGGAGATCTTCTCCTTTTTATCTGACCCTCCACCTTACCAAACATGATATCCTTCTCCAGTGACTGGTCCCTCCTGACACTATGTCCAGAGTACGAGAGACCAAGTTTAGCCATCTTGGCCTCCAAGGAGCATTCTGGCTGCACTTCTTCCAACACAGATCTATTGGTTCTTTTGGCAACCCATGGCACTTTCAATATTCTCCTCCAACACCATAACTCAAAAGCATCAATTCTTCTATGGTCTTCCTTATTCACTGTGCAGCCTTCACATGCATATGAGGTTATTGAAAATACCATGGCTTGGGTCAGGCGCATCTTAGTCTTCAAGCTGACATCTTTGCTCTTCAACACTTTAAAAAGGTCTTTTGCAGAAGATATGCCTAATGCAATATGTCATTTGATTTCTTGATTGCTGCTTCTGTGAGTGTTGATAGTTGATCCGAGAAGACTGAAGTACATTTTATACATATGTAAAATGTATTTATATGTATGTGTGTAATCTCATAAAAAAACTACTTTATGGGCACCCACATATTAACAGATGAATTCCAAAGTAAAAAGTAGAAAAAAAAGTCCCCATCGAAGTCACCGATTGGGGACACTCACATTGGCAGTATGAAATCACTCAATCTCCGAACACTGCCGTGAGCCATAAGTATAGTTTGTAGACATCAATCTGCTCAGGTGGTCCAGAAGTGAACTTGTCAGAGCAATACCGTGCCCCCTAATTACAGGTCCAGAGAGCTGCTGGTGGGACTCTCATGAATTTTAATGCAGCCTGAGACATCTCATTAAAATTAAATTTATTAAACTTCTAATTGAGCTTGTTGCTGAATCCTGATTGTAAGTTCTTCTGTGGCCATGTCCTCAGACTGCCTGCCTAGGGTTCCTGAGGCTGTAATGTTCATGCAAACAGATTGCCATGTCTTTTTTTCCCTCAGAGTAGCTGGTAGATTTGAACCACCAGCCTTGAAGCCAGTGGTTTAACCAGTATGCCACAAGGCTCCAAACCTCGGAACTAGTAAATCAAAAAAAGGATACATTGACCATAGTCAAGTCTCCAACTCAGGACAACCCATGCCCATCCCCCATAGTAGTCTTCAGTGACTGAGGTTTCAGGGCTGAATCACCAGGCCTTTCTTCAGCTGCATCTCTGGGAAGACTTGAACCACCAATCTTTTCATTAGCATCAGAGTGCATCACTGTTTGCACCACCCTGGCACTGGAGCTGATCAGAAAAGTGAGAATGGGGGCTGCTTGGGAAGGTAGTCTTAGCTCTTGTCTCGCTTTTCTCCTGTTGGCTTCTGTCCAGTCCTAATCCACTTTGAACGTGGGCAGGCCAGCTGAATGTTCTCAGGACTTCGCCTTTGCTGTTTCAGTGTTTTGACGAAGTGGCTAAGCTACAGCTTCCCAGAAGGTACTCGTGCATCTCGTTCCGTCCACCCACTTTGGGCCTGGCCGTTCTAAGTCTTACACACCTCACCCCAGTCTTCCTGCTGTGTGTGGATCCAAGGGCTATCTATTGTTGTTCTGTGGGGGCTTCTTCCTGTTGTTTGGACGTCTGGATTGCATGTCCACTGGAAGTTCTCCTTACTGTGGTCCCTGAGAGCTGAGGTCTCTGGGAGGTAAAACGGAAAGCCGGCAGTTTCACTGGGGCTGTTTTTGTGACGGAAGATGTGTGTTTCAGGAGAAGAGAATGAGGAAGTGTGAGGACATTGTTTGGTGCAAGTGTTAACACTGTTGAGCCACTTTGCAGAGCTTTTGAACTTTACACTCTTGCTGGTTGTCCTCTCAAGCAAAAACGACATCTGGATTCTACTTTTCCTTTATGTGAGGTAGATATTTTAGGGTCTCAGACAATTCAGAGGAAAGGGAGGCTGAATTACAAAGGGTTCGGGGCAAGGTTTGGACCACAGAAGATCACAAGTCTATAACAGGACTTTGCGCAAGCGCAAAAGAGCCCTGGTGTTGCAGGGCTCAAGCGCTTGGCCGTTAACCTGTCAGTGGGTCTGACTCACCTTCATAGTGGGAGAAGGCTGTGGCAGTTGGCTTCTACAAAGATGGCAGCCTAGGAGACCCCAAGGGGCAGTCCGTCTCTGTCCTGTAAGGTTGCTTGGAGTCGGGATGAAGTGAC